TACGGTAAAATGATAGGAAAATGTTAGAATAGAAGATGTTTGTTAGAGTTTATAGCCTAAATTGCTAAACGGTTCTCGATGAAATTTGGCATACATGTAGAGGATAGTCTGGAAGAACAAATAAGTTACATACATCTCTTTTTTTAATTCAACGAGAAAGAAGTCGCGGACAAAATCTAGTTAAATAAAGTCATGTAAGCCGGCACGGTGAAACTGAATGATGTTTCGCTGAGGCAATTTTCCTTACGTGACAAAATTTATTGTCGCTAACAGATGTTACTAACTTGTCTCCCCGTTCGTGTAGGCACTGGCTGCGACGTGCGTCACACTCCTATATAAGTACAGACAGATTACCAGGAAAGTGTTCGTTATGGCGTAAGGAATCATCGGAGTGTTACATTTCTGCAGTTCCTGCCAACGTAGTAGCCACGGTAGCGGAGAAATAACCACGCAGAGTCGTAGGACGATAAACAGGACTGTATGTATGTCAACATCCAGTAGATAAAAATAATACATGTAAATTTCTATTGGTTGCTATAATTATGCTATAGTGATATGTTAATTTTTGAATGATTTTAGAAGTGCAATTTAATTTTGAACGCGGAAAATAAGGAACCAGTCGGTAGCTTGATAAATAAATAGCAAAACTATGTCAAGCTCTAAGTTGCCTTTTACGACATTGAAGGAAGAGTGGGTACAGTGCAAAAGTGGAGCCCCGGCAACACTTAGAAACCGTCACAAAAGACAATTTGAAAGAGCGGTTGCACTTGTAGTTCGATTGGAAAAGCACATTGTATTACTCGTGTACGTCACTTGAGCAATTTATTGAATGAAACAAGTTGGTTAAGAGTTCAAGAACAATTCTAGACATATAAACTGTATTTCCTATTTTATGGTCCTTGTTTCAAAGTGGTTGTTTATTAAGAATTGACAGAGAGAAATTGATCTACCCCATTATCTCTGAAAGATTTTCTATTAACTCAGCTTCAAAGGATTCCACTGTAATACTAAATAACTTAAAGAATTTTGCAATAAAAAAAGATATTAAAATTCCGGTAGTTCCTAAGTTTAGCGCGTTCTATATAATAAACTTCCGCTTTACTTTGTTGGTTCTTTTGATCGTGATAGAGCGTCAAATCTCTTAATATTATTCAGTCATTTACATCTCTGACGTCCAGGCCTTCTCTCCGCTTACACCGAATTTCAAATTAAAATCAAAAAAGCAATTTTAAGCATGTATGCTCTTTTAAAGTCCTCTGTCAAAGATTTTAGGCAGATTGAATTATTTATTTTACTTGTATCGTTTTTGATTATTTTATACCGTAATGCAAGTGTTACCGGGTTTTAAAATTGACTTTTAAGTAATATTAGGCCGGTAGATGGATCGACTCAATTACATCTTCAATATCAAAACAAACAGCGGTGATAGACTTCCTTTGAGATAAGTCAACGGTTACCAACACGCATTAAATTCTTGATTCATATATATTGGTAACTATAATTTCGGGTTGTAAAGTATTAAAATGGATTTTCAAACAGCATTTTTATTATACGAAGTCGCAGAAATGTTTTTGTTGCAAAATTTTCGATGCAGATTTGATTATGAGGTACAATGAACTCAAATGATAATTACTGAATGCGACATGTTTTCAATTCACATTATTTGTATTCATTTCTCTTCCATTGTTTAAATTTTTCAATAGTTTGTTTTAATGTAGAGATAACTATCTTTATAGTAAAAACTACAGCACGGTACCTGGCCCCGGCTGCCCGTTGACCTAGAAAGCTGAATCATCCCTCCGTAATAAAGAGCCCGGAAAATCGCCTTATTCTTTTCTCACACCATGTGAAGAAAAGAGATAGCTAATACCCGTATTAGCGATCGTACAATGTTACTTATACTTATCTTACACATGTAGGATATTTTTAACTTTCCCAGCATTTTAATAACTAAGTTAATATTAATGTTCCAGATTTTGAAATGATTATGTATCTAAATGATAAAAGTAAATTACTACAAAAGATTATATGAAAATTATTCTTTTAATAAATCTAAGATGACAATTATGTAAGTATATACCTTATAGTAGCGAGAAAAAGCAAGTACCTACGGTGGAAAGCGAACACGTAAAATTTAGACGGAATTGTGAGAAAATACGGGTGTGGTGCCAGCTGCGAGACGGTCCTACTTGCAAGCGACTGTACCTCGTGTAGCAATTACCGATCATGTAGAAAATTACACTTTAGCTACTAGCAAGGTTTATGTAAATGAATGTTGGTAAAAAACGTAGGAGCAAAATAACTTGTTTGTTTCTTGACAACCTTAATATGTATTGTATAATACAAAAAGGTTGATTTTAATTCATGAGCACACCATTATATTTTCGCCGCACATCCAACTAAGAACTCCTGTAGTAAAATGTAGATACGTCACTGCCATACTATTAACCGTAGCCGCAAAAACTCTTCTAGTTCTTCATCTTTCATTTAATTGGGGTGATTATTAAGAATGTTACAAACTACATCAAATTATTAAAATGAAAAAACAAATATCGAGAATTTTGATGAGAAAACATTTAACATAGAAAAGGTAATTTTAAAGACAAATACGAAATAGACGTTATACCGACCCTACGAGAGTAGGATAAGGTAGGGGAGATGATGACAAAAAGGGGTTATCTCATGTAAATGTTTAAGTAAAATTTTCAAGTAATTCTGCAAAAGCAAATAAAATTTTTCATACAACTTATCTGTATGTATGCTTCATGCGGTGTGTCTGGTCAGGTCCACATATCAGTTACATGGTACTGTAGGATACACACGCCGCAGGGCGGATTCGTAATTTTTGACGCGGGAGAGCGTGCACGTTCTGATTAATTGAATTGATTTCTCGTCTGCCATCCGGAACTGTTCAACTGGACCGTTGAAATTGAATTTCACAGCAAGAGGGACGTCACGCAAAATACATCCGACGCTCTACAATTTTTTAATTAAAAAAAACTGTTACTTAACTGTAAAAACGTTATTTAAAAATTGTATATGGAAAAAAAATCTTGTATTGCTGCTTATTTTCATTCTGGTCAAGTTTTAAGAGGAAGGGAAGCATGGGTTGCCTATATACTTAGATAATAGAAATCATTCTACGAGACACGCTATCTTTTGTGAAATGCAACACATTTATTTATTTAATTCTCGCAAGATTTCAAGTGTGCAGGTACAGTTTTTTGTTGTTAAAAAATCGCAACTTCGTTCCTACAGTGAACACGTAATAGCAGTTTTATTGTTGCTCCCGTTCCGCGTTTAGAGCACTCCACGTTTTACGTAATTTTCCATTGTTTAAACCTTTAAAACTGAAATAACAGAGTTTCAAATAAATCTTAATGACGTAAATTTGTATTTGGGTTATACAAGAACTAAGGTTTCGTAGTCCGCTTACTTTTGAATCAATCTACGAGTAGTAAGCGGCCGGGTACCATGTGAAGGTACGTCAACAACGCTATAGAGGGATATTCCCCTCTTCGGCGGGGTTATGGTAAACGGGCCTAGGGGTGGTGAGGGGAGAGGTGTGGGCGGGGGAGGTGAGGAGCGGGGCACCCCCAGGGTGTGTAGGGGTCGAGATTCAACTGGTGCAATGCGGCGTACCCCTCCGCTCATCCCACTGTCCGGGTTTGTTTTGCTATTGTACCCGCGGCGCACAGTTGGCACGCTACGCGTTGATTTTGTTGCGTTTGTTTTGTACCAACCGCCTTAAATGAGGGTAGCTCTGCTATTACTCTATTTGCTTTTTTCTTCTTACGTCCGTGACGACTGTTTATTGTGATTGGCTCATAATTAATATGCGTATGTCGATTGTTTTTAACATTTTTTTAACATGTATTGGGTGTTCTTGTATAAAAGTGAATCAATAATAAAACATAGTTTTAATTAAGTTATATTTCTTAAAACTAACATATAAATGACAAATCAAAGTTCTAGAGTTGAAAAAGTGTTAAAATAATTGCTGCAAAGTCAGCGAAAATTTAATGTCGCACCACCTTTTACGAGCTATTATTCAACTTCGCCGGTTAGTTCGTTAGTAAGTTTGTTAAAGGCGAAGTTTTGCAAGGTTTATTTAAAGTGTTGGAACCGCATATCCGAGCTACTCTCACACCTCGTATGTCCATCGTACTACTTCGAAAACTTCACTATTTACTTAAAATTATTATTGTTTTACTTTAAGTGTTAGTTTAAATATTTTTTAAAAGTCAATAATAGCGGTTTTCGATAATAACTAAAGTACTATTTAAGTAAAAAGAAGAATAAAGCGACTGTGTCAATTTTAGAAATGTTCAAGATTATTTTATTTCTACTGGATATATTGTTTATAGACCGACTATATTTATCTCTCCCGGCGGGTACATGTGAAATTAAATTATGATAGCTCAATAGCGCTCTCCTTTATGCCATTTTCTATGTCCATGAAACCTAGTACGACGAGCATTTTCTGACAGAACCACGAGAAAGCAGCACTTCTGACTAATGTTAAATTCTACTAATTACTATGCTTTTCACCCGATAATTTAATAATTGATTCGTGGAAATTAAGATGGATGGATGTTTGCTAGAGTTTGTAGCCTAAACAACTGAACGGATCTCGATGAAATTTGGGATAGTTGTAGAGGATAGTCTGGAAGAACACAAACGCTACTTGCTTTTCAAAATTTTTTTACACTGACGGAGTCACGGACTTAGGCTAGTACATAATATATATTTAAGTTTCGATCGAAAGTTAGATTCGACAATGCAATACTGTACAAAATGTTTGTACTTAATATGTCGAGTATCAAAACCTTTTTATTACCTATCAATTCTTTCTCAATCTCATACAGCATCTAACTTATTAAAACTTTCGTGAGACATTATACTATATAAATTATAACACGGCTAAACTCACGTGATAACATTCGGTGTAGGCACCGACAGTTTCGAACCCGTTGGGGGTCCTTCTTCAGGGTGAGTGATTAATCGGGTATACTTGCTAGCGCGTCGCGACGGTCACTGCGTGCCCTCGCCCGCATCGCGCGTTTCGACAGGGCGGGGGGCGCGGGGGGTGCGGGGGGTACACTATTCACTATGTGCGTCGGCGCAGACGAGCTCGAAACTGACGTGGTGGTGTTATTATTATTAACGGGGGCACAAAATACACTTACAATGTCCACTAAGTTGTCTTCGACATTGTCGATCTTATTCCGCTTCGCATTCAGCAGCACGGGTTCCCACGCGGGTGGCAGAGCCCAACCCTTGTCTCTATTATAATTAGGCCGACGGCTGATTTCTATTGCCTCACGAAGCTTGCGGGATACAAAATGCTTCTCGCGGGCTAGCTCTTTCACTTTGTCGAACCTAATATAATGTGACATATCGGAGGCAAGGGCATGTTCCGCCACCGCCGAGGCGTTGCTGTCGAGCTTGCGAATGCTCCGGATGTGTTCCGTGAGTCTAGTTTTTATGTTGCGCCCCGTTTCTCCGATGTAGTTCCTACCGCAATCGCATGGAATTTCGTAGACCCCAGGGCTGTCCAGAGGGTCCCGGTCTTTAGGGGACCGCAGTATTTTCTGTATTTGTGTCAGGGGTCGGAAAATGGTCCTGATGCTATATCTCCGGCGTAACAGGTGACCAATTCGGTCCGTTATCCCCCGCACGTACGGCAAGTATGCCGGGACACGCTCAACATCCTGTGGCCGTCCTTTGCTTGATGTGTTTGCAAGGCGGTAACTCTGCCGCCAATTATAGCCGTTGCTCTCTAACACCTGTCGTACGTGTGACAATTCCGACTCAATAAACTGTGGATCACACAACCGAAGCGCACGGTTGATCAAAGTGCGTGGTACTGACGACAGATGTGAGGGGTGATGGTGTGAGTCGGCTCTTAAGTAACGATCTGTGTTGGTCGGCTTTCTGTATACCGTATGTACAAGATTTCCAGTGGGTTCCCGCTTTACTAGAACATCCAAAAACGGAAGAGTTCCGTCCGTTTCCTCCTCCTTTGTAAATACAATCTTTGGATGTATACTGTTCAAATGGTCCAACAACAAGCTTAAGCCTTGTCTTGTAACAATGGCAAACACATCATCGACATATCTCCACCAGTATCTGGGTTTGATTGGAGCCGTTCGTAAAGCGTTATCCTCAAAATGTTCCATAAATATATTGGCCACAACCGGTGCTATTGGAGAGCCCATCGTCACTCCATCCACTTGCAGGTAGTAATCACCTCGCCTGTCGGTGCCTACACCGAATGTTATCACGTGAGTTTAGCCGTGTTATAATTTATATCATACAGCATCATTCATCTGTACTCTACTTGCAAAACAAAAAGGTATCAAAGTGTTAGCGTCAAAGTAATTCACTAACAAACAAAATTAAAAAGTGTAGTGAAAACAATTTGAATACGACAACGAAAACATGAACACTTCGGTAAAATCATAAAGCTGTATGGAGCCCTGAAGGCTTCAGTTCTGTAAATGCAGCCATTGTGAGAAGGCAAATACTTTTGAGGAACAAATGTTCAGAATTTCAAAGTTGCGGCATTTTATGTAAACAACATGTTGAACTTGCGAGACCGCGGTTCGCGCGGCGCGGCCCGACCGCTCAACTCAAATATTTATGTATAGGTACGTGTGCTAGACGAAAACCAATGTGAACTGCATTTACATTTTAAACAGGACTTTATATATGAATGTACTTGTTTAAAGGAAAGAGATTGTTTTTAAAACAAAATTTATATTTTTGCAGCGCTGTAAAAGAGGGTGTCTGAAATAAGGAATTTATACGAACTAGGTGGTACTAAACCTGAAAAAAAGTTATCATTCCGAAATAACCAAAATAAGATAGATATTCCTTCCAAGTAATTAGATATTTTTATATACACTTGTCTTCTCTTTATCTCGTATAAAAAATCGCACCACTTGAATTATTTAAATCTTAATCTCTAATGATTTAGATACAGTTAAAAAACAAATAGACAGATACCATCTTCTGCAGCATTATACATGGAAATTATTAAATACAACACTAGCTGTTCCCGTCCGATTGTGCGATTTCATCAGCATAAAATTATTTTATTGTTTACATGTGTCAAATTGTCAATTGCAAATGTCAAAATGACATGACATGACAAAACTTGTCAATCTTGTTTCCTTGATATTGGCAGCAACTTATGGTCCCAACATCAAGGAAACAAGATTGCCAAGCTTCCCACATTAGGGTTTTTATCCAAAATATTTACCCCCTAAGTTTAATGGCGTGAAAATATATAGCCTAAAGCATGAAGTAAGTTTTTTATAAAAAAAAAATATTCAAAAAGATGCTGTAATTGCTGACATCTTAGGCAACAAAGAAGTGTGTGTTTACGCTTTATTATAATAGTATAGATTATAATATCAGTATATAAGTATAATAAATAAAAAATGTAATATTATAACTACAATAATAGAGCTATAAGGCTTTTTTCCTTTGTAAGACAATGTTCAAATACTCGATATGAAACTACTCAATCCGACGGTTTGAAATTCAAAGACCTCACGTTCGAAATATGCAAATATAAAACTATGATAGGTTCTAGCAAACGCTGTCACTGTTCGTTTTTGTGAAATTGTACTACGTTATACCGAAGTTAGTTACGACCCGCGGTCACTAAAAAACCAATTGCAAAAGCAATATGCAGTTATGATTACAAAAAACCGAGTTGCGTCCAATTATGTTAGGGCCTTCCTATCGAAATGTGAAATACGAAAAAATCATTACTAGTACCATACGTGGTATTTTATATCTCTACACACAAACTACATACAGCCATATGTCAATTAATCTTTTTCAAAATTTGATTTAAAGAGTCCGACAAATAAAAAACTTACAACGCACGTACGTACGTACGTACTCGTACTGACCAATCAAATCAATTAACGTATCAAATATTGTAATACTTGTATTAGAACATTATTGATATCTATATTTTTAAAGAGAATGAGTAATAATGTTATTATAATACAAGTGTTACAACAGTGGAAACTCATCATTATGTTATTTGATAACAAAAAAATATGCAAACCGTTTAAAATTCCATAATTGATTTTCGATTGGCGAGGTCTGTCGACATGTGCTTCGCAAATTCATCAATTTAATTAATAAACACGATAGTTCCCAGAGTTTTTCAATTAAAACCACAATAGCTTTTCATTTAAACGTTTACGTTTGTACAACGCTTTTTCGACGCTGGTAGAGAATTAAGAGGGGATTCAAAGCGGAATGAAAATCATAATTTCATTCTCTCAAATTATTCTCAATTGTGAAACGGTTTATACAAAACAATTAACGCCTGCATGAACATAAGTTTAGATATTAGAAGGTTTAACTCAAAGACGAAATTCAAGTGTGAAGCGAACAAAGTAAGCGGGATTTGTGGCAAATTATTTTACATAAAGCCACCGGGAAAGCCGCTTACATTTGACGCGAGATAGAAATACCGCGCGGACACCTGCGAGACAAATGCATTGACACAGCTAACAAAGCTAGAAGTTTAACGTCCTAGATAAAGTTGTTACCACTACACAGGCAAGGGAATGAAACGACAGAATACAACAGAGTTTCGAGCAATAGCAGACAAAGCGATCCGAGGTCCGTTCCATTTCAAATTTTCCTTCTTTTCAACAAAAGTTTCGTTCATTTTTCATCAGGGTGAGCTCGATAAAAACGACTATTACGCTTAACCGCCTACTGAAAGGGCATTAGCCTGTCTTTTTTAGCTAAATTTGAAGAAAGTCCGACATCGTGAAATGTCTCTCACATAATATTGACAACGACGGACTTCAATTATTACTTTCTTGATATTAATTTTTGCCCCGATAATGTTTTTTGAGATATTCTAAAGATGATATTTTAAATTTACTTTGCTTAGGTGGAGTCGTTGTCAAGCTCTGGTTTAATAATGTAAAAAAAATTAAAAAAAATTATTTGTAGAAGTAAAAGGTAAAATTTACATTTTTTATTGTATATTTAACTATAATACTTGTGATGCCTGTTTTACCTAATCCTAGTAAAATGTAATATTTTTAATAAGCATAGGTGATTTTTACAATTTTCTACTGATGTTATTTACAATAAACATTATTGTTAATATGTCATCATCATCAGCTCACTATACGTCACCACTCTGTTGTGTATAATCATAAGCAAAATGGAATATGTAAATTATATTATCATAATTTCTTTGGGCATGGCCTATGCAGAAAATAGGAAGTACTGATAAATGACAATTTGGTTTTGAAAGCGGAATTATATGCGCTTGTAAAAAAATAAATGACGTTAGAAGGAAAACATATATAACCATCAACTCCCGCGACCCAGACAGTTTTAAAATTACAATTTTTTATTCAAATATGATTGTCCGTCGTGTGCCAATATCGTTGAATTAACATTTTGTGCAGCCGTGGCACAAATCATTGCTGTTCCTGTCAATATCAACCTCGTTTTAAATTCCAACAACCTAAATGCTCTTTAATGTTTAATAATCTGGTCCGGATATGTCCATCATCTAACGTATTCTGTAATGCCCTTTTGTGTAATACTTCGTATTTTGTATATGAAAGTAGTAACTCTTCAATTTCGCCGCATTGTTAACTGATCATTATGAACATAAGCGACTATTTAAGTTACCATTAAATGAATACGTGTAGCAGATAGTATAATTTAATTGTTTCCATGTGAACTTCTCTTGTTTTAATCTGCGGACGTTGAAAGGGTACAACGGCGAGAAATGGACAAAATACATTTACCCTATGCATTTCGAAAACAATACGATTAAATTTACGGCTGCGTTACAAATGCTCGCCGCGGTCTCGCTATTGGAATAAACAAGCGACACGGATTCCTGTTTATTATTCTATGAATTGCATTCGTGAATCAAAAGTGGTTTACAGATGTATTTATTTATTATTGTCCACTCACGATAGTCATAGCAATCGTAGATAATATGATATTTTTTTCTTTATAATTGAGTATTGATCAAATAGTATTTAAAGAAAATCATTAAAGGATTTTTAATTATTCTTTCATTGGTTATATTACATTCACGAATTAGGTTATTGTAGTGAATTATTTATTATTATTATTTATTAATAAGATAAATAATCAAAGTACATATTTATGTTTATATTTATAGGCGAAAAGGAACCAATTAGGCAAAAAAGCTATAAAAACATCGCGTAATTTTTTTGTAGATGGTACGGAAATATAATGCAAAATGTTTTATAACAAAGAGTTAAATTCTAAATTATTAATTAAATTTAATTTATGAAATCATAGTATCATGCTGTTAGTAACTAAAGTGGACTACATCAGTGCAATATCCAGCAATTTAGAAGCGATCGACGTTAAGTAGGGAGGGCAACGATTATATCGGGCGTCGCATCGACAAAATGTAGAGCCCGGGTAACAGGGCTCGTTTTCAATTAATTGAATGACGTCAATAAATTGAGACTAGCATCAGCTGATTTGTTTGAACACCAAATTGAACTAATGACGCGTTAAATCTATTTAGCAGTTACGGTTCATGTCCATAATACATATATGGTTTTCACAAATTTTACAGGACAATTTGTGAAATATTTTATTGAGTTATGTTAGATTTTATGACAGACGTTACTAGTATTTTTCAAAGCGGACGATAACGTTCCTTTGTGGGCGCTGGAGGCTTAGAAGAGGGCGGCAAGGGGCCAGAAAAATTGGGGGGCGCTGTGGTTTTAATAAATGTTAATAAAAGTTTAAAAAAAATAATTAAAATGTTATAACATTTACTTCATAACATCACTACAACACAATCAGAAATAACAAAATTAAAAAAAACAGCAAACATAACATACAGTAATTACAAAACAATAACATTGTACTCAAATAAAAAATATAATGAGCATTACAGTGCTGACCGGATTGGGTCCACGCTCAGCTTTGAATGCTGTCTGTTACTCACTGAAGTACCCAGGGCTGATCTTCCGCGAGTTAGACGACATGACTTTGGGAACTTTTTGTGAATATGATTTTGACATACTTGAGTGTTTAAACAAATGCCTTCATTTAGTGAAAGCTTGACATAGTTACAAAGTGTCAATTATATTTTGCAACAATAACAAATGAATATAACAAACCGTTTTTATTTAAAATTGCTTTGCATTTAGTATCAACATCAACTTGCAACTCTATGAGCCATTTCATTTGAAATAACTCCCTTTGTAAGCATATCCTATTTAACACAATCCATACTTTCTTCGGTCTTCCTTAACCATTATAACCATCTTTATTCATTCAATATATGCAAACATAAACATTTTAGAACGGTACAAGGTAAAGCGCTGCTATGTAACCTAGATTTTAGATATTATGTAATTTTCTCAAAAGTTGTGATATGTATTTTTAAACAAATATACTGTTGTACAGATGTGATCCGCGCACAAGATTATCTATCGTTCGTCGAAACGGTTTCCATTGCCTAATCCCCAGCTGGGGAGCGAGTTTCATTTACTTTATTCGCTCAGTTGTAATCTTCTCTATTCGCAAAGCTTATGTCATGACACTTGGATTTCTATTTATATATATTTTCCTTTATTATGTCGACGGGGTAAGTGCTTCGCCTGACGCTGGCTTAAGTGCTCACAACACAAGAGTGTTTGTTCATTCGCTAACGTAAGTCACTGACAATTCAGGTGGCTTTACATTTCACAATTTAAATTATATTTATTGTACTTTAGTTAATTGCAGTGTATAAAATGTTTAAATTACTCCGAAAAATTGGTTTGTAGAATTCGTTTTTTGTTTCAATTTTTAAACGCTCAGTTCTGACAGTTATAAGTATTCTAATCGTCAGTTGAACTGCTTAATTCAAGTTTTGCTTCCACACACACAGTTTTAACTGTTAGAACTGAGCGTCTGTACCGGGTTTACTATAATGGTTGTGATTTTGATATGTATATTGTAGCAATGATTTGGTCAGTACTAGTAATTGTGAAATGGGGAACAATGCCGTTGATTCATAAGGTGCGCTTGAGCGTAAAAGACGGTACGACCGTTATTATTTCTCTTCCGCACTTCACTTTTTGAAAGTGACTTGGTAGTTAGGGTATTGCAAGGAGCGCTACAGGTTGTGCGCTGCGCCACAGGTTGCCTGCAAGTTATTAACGAAGGCCGCGGACCTTCTGCCGCGCACCCCTCGCGTTCCCCCCGCGCGCGGCTTACGCCGGCAGCCCCGGTCCCCCAACGCCCCGACGCCCCAGCGCCTCACACCACTACTGAAGCAACCTTTACGAAATTTTAACGATTCGTTCATATTTTTGCGACAGCATTTTACAATATATTTTATAAAAGATTACTTTCCTACTTTAAGAAGAAATTATTGACTAAGAAAACGGCAGCACAGAAATTAATCAATTTATTTGTTTGCAGGATACACCGACGAGCAGCCTTCCACGCAATTTACGGCACAGCTTCCGTGCGAGGTGAGGCCGGTCTTCGGCCCCGGCACCGTCTTGCAGCCGGCGCCTCAGCCTGTCTCCTATGCCCTTCTGCACCTCTCTACATCCGATCCGTCTCAACCAACTTTCTTCCAAGTACAGCTCCAATCTTCGCCTATCTCCCCCCCTCCGCCACCGGCGAGCGGCACGTCTCTTTCCGTATGCTACACCAGTACGGGTGCAATATTGTCTTTGCCACCGAAAAAGAAAGATATTTATCGCCCCTACTGCCTCGGGGATCATGCGTTTCTACACCGTGCAGAGGAGGACCTCAACGCAGCACACGCGATACTGGATTTGAGTGCACACGCTGTATTTCTATCGACGCAGCCACGACCTGAGCCGGCGCCTCCCGAACCGCCGCCTGCACAGCCAGACCCTCCGATTCCGGAACCGCCGCCGGTCAAGCGGACTAGAAAGACCATCGCTTACACCTACGACGCTTTCTTCGTAAGTGACGGTCGCTCAAAGCGACGCAACGTTGTCAACGCCCCGGAGGAATGCGCCCAGCTGCCCGAGCAGAAGTCCAAGTACACGTGCAACGAGTGCGGAAAGCGGTACGCAACTTCTTCAAACCTCTCCAGACACAAGCAGACGCATCGTAGCCTAGACTCAGTGGCGGCCAAGCGTTGCGGTGAATGCGGCAAGGCATACGTTTCGATGCCCGCACTCGCAATGCACGTGCTTACACACCAACTGTCCCACGTGTGTGGCGTGTGTGGCAAACTGTTCTCGCGGCCCTGGCTGCTTCAGGGCCACCTGCGCTCCCACACCGGCGAGAAGCCATACGGCTGCGCTCATTGCGGTAAGGCGTTCGCCGATCGCTCCAATCTCCGTGCACACATGCAGACACATTCGTCAGATAAAAACTTCGAATGTTCGCGTTGCCATAAGACTTTCGCACTCAAGAGCTACCTCAACAAACACCAGGAAGCAACTTGCGTGCGCGAAGACGAGTCGGCGCGCGTGCTCGAAGAGGAGCCGGCGCCGGCCGCGGCCTTGCCCGATCTCTCCGACGCCGCTACCGAGTAGTGACCGCCTCACCACTCGAGACGCATCTTGGGACCGTAATCTCTGCCGTATGTTTTACATCTTAACGTAAAGTATTACAATATGAATTTAGCTTGTTAGAACTATATTAAATGTACAATTTGCAATAAGAAGAGGTCACGACCAGCGCTGCCGTCGATGAAGAAGGAGCAGCGCCGGCCGGGGACTCGCGATCGAGCAACGTTTCGCAAACAACGAATCACGTATGAACCCCGTAGCGCCGACAGCGGCGGCATTAGGCCGTAGCGACAGACGTCCGGATTAACATTTAGTTATGTATATAATTATCTATAAATTATACCCTTATATACATAGAAGTAATGGAATACGAATAAAACTAATATCTTTTGTAGGTGACTTTTACAACCGCAACGTAGGTTAGAGAGTATTACGGTGTAAGTTAAGCGTCTAGATGCGAGAGCCGAGCGCCGAGACCGTGCGGGTAGGGGCGGAGCGCTCGGGCGCACGCGTCATTTGTCTCGGTAAAGAACTTGCCAAAACTTTCCGTCCGAAGCTCCGCAGCGCCGCCGCCATAGCGTCGCCGTCGCGCCGCCATGGCGCCGCCGTCGTGCCGCCATCGCGCCGCATTCGCACCGCTAGCGCGTCGTTATCTGCAAATGTATGACAACACGCCGTATGACCTACGCGCGTCTACGGATACAGCTACGGTATCGCCTGAACTGCGTAGCAGCGACCTTGCTCTGGCCGCTCTGCTTGGGGAACTTTCGATATGAAAATAATTAATATAGGGTAGTAAATCCAAAATAAATAAAAACTCTATAATTGCGAATTTAGGTATGTATTTATTTTTCGATAGTTTACAGTATTTGTTATATGACTTTAAATTTGATATGTTCAATGTTACTTTTATATAAGTCCCATGAAATTGTAGAATTTCAGATTCAGATTATCATTTAACTAAATTACATAAAGTTTAAGACATTTGACTTTACTTATGACTTTAACAAACAAAACATAGCCGTGAAATTGTTTAGCTACAAACTTCGAAATGTCCCCAAGTTCATGACAGTGCCTTAACGGCGAGCAGTCAAAGGTACATACGTATAGGTCCCGGGACCGTCCCGCGCTACGTATTAATAATTTAGTATAAGAAAACCTCTTCCACCTAGCCGCCCTTACAAACAATCTAGGAATTCAATTGTAACACGCGATAGTTGAACACGATAAATGGCCATCTGTAACAAACCCTTTGTCAATAAGGCGAAAGTCACGAACGAATGCATAATAAATGACACGACATTACAAAAAAAATCGTTATAGCCTTGGCCTAAGTCAAGGATACGATTGAAGCAAACGATAAAATATTTCTTTTTTCATAAACACAATAAGAATCACAACTAAATAAACAATCGACTATTAAATTAAGAATGTTTCCAACACAATTGCAAATAAAGGCCGCTATAGACGCTCAGCTTTTACTGACTGTCTCAATAAAAAGGTATCTACTATTATTTTATTTTACCACAGTAGCTTATCGTCTAATGAGGAAATATATACACCATAGATAAAGTAATGTCAACAAAATGCGACATACTTCAACGACACGTGACTGGTCTTATAGAAACGTAGGCCACGAATACGCACAACGAACGCTTGATCGTCGCATCGCAAGCATTGTTGCATTTGTCGCTCATATATGACCACAGTCTGTAATAGCACTACATATTATACATAGTTATATAGTTATATTAATAGGGCGGCGTTTGGGACAGGTTGAACTGCATGAATCAATTAATAAGCCTTTAGTTTGTGCGAGTGTTTAGAGACAAGTCAAATATAACTGGCAATAATTTAACGTAATTTAAGATAGTGTTAATTCTAGGTTTAGGGAGACGAGCACGAGGTGTTCAGTAAGAAATGGGTATTCGAAAAAGCAATAATAAAGTAGATATTCAAGTCGCGCACTGCTGTCATGGAGACGCTGCAGACTTTTTCCTACCTTATCCTTAGAGTTCCCTAGTTCCAGTAGTTCTCACCCTATTCTCCCCGTTCTCCCTCCTTCTTGGAACACAATTCCCCATTCCCAACAGCACTCTTACTCTGACTTAGCTATAAATAGCGATAGATGGAATTACTTTCCTTGATCCGTCACTACGTCAACCTAGATAATTCCACAGTCAATTTATTAAGGAATTTAATTTCAATTGGTCAATTAAAAAAAATCCCTTTTATAATTATATTAACGATTAATTTATTAATTCGTTATTTTGGATTTCTAAATTGGTATTAGAATAGTTTTTTCGTAGTTAATTGGAATGCAATAATTATTGTCAATTTAAAAGGATAGCAATACGTAGTTGATGAAAGGGAGATTTCTCATTCCTAGTTATTATATTCCTCGAATGTCAAGTGATCCGACTCGACGTAGACGTAGTGCCACATAAACTTAACATAGTATTAAATAGCCTAACATTATATTCACAATAAAACAATGTATATTTACCAGACAATGGTTGCGCGTAATAAGCAATATTAGTGTAAGCAATACTTTAGGGTGAACGTAGTTTATGTTATTTTTTAATCTAATACATATTTTGGTAGATATAGAGGTTTTGGTGCTTGTGAGTACTTACTATATTTAAAATTTTTTGAAGTGAATCTAACATCGAATAATGTGTAAACAATTAAAATTGTGATAATTATTTTCAAAATTATGTAAATAATCTGTTAAAGGTAACTACTGAATGTTACAAACCCTTCAATTACGCATAAAAAAAATTCACGCGTTTATTAGATTTAAGACACTATTGTGTAGAAATTAGTTTATGTATCTACGGGGGGTGTTCAGAAAGTAATGGGAATCAAACATTTTATGCGATGTTTATGTTAAAATTCAATTTAATATTCTATCCTTATCTCCAAACAAGTCGATAAATTTAGTCCATTCTTTTTGTAATCGTAAAAACCACTCGAGAAAAATATTTTAAATCTGTCAAAAAGAGTTTATCACTACTAAAGTCATTTAAAGTCAATGATTTAAATATAAGTAGCCTGGGTACAGAATTACAGGTTGTGCGTTTGAACAATTCGAATCCTGCTTTTCAAATCACTGCTGTTACAATATCAGATTGTGCGTGGGCACATTTCTCTCGTCAAACAAGGGTTTAGTTCTCAATTTTCCTGTCCTTTTCATCTTTATTTCGCCTCTCTATAACTGTTGAAGGCTAACCATATGAAAGCCCAGTAATCTCAGCTAAAAATGATCATATGAACCGCTCAGATCAGCTAAAAGATGAAGGCTAAATGGGATACCACTCCTTCTTGTAGTTTTTTCAGTTTTTTTAGCGTTATAATAAAATGTAAAGTGAAAGCTTTGTACACTTTTTTAAGGAATTGCGCGAACGGATGAATGAACGAGAATTTTGACACAGTTAACGTTTATGAGAAGAAGATGTGTGTATTTGTAATCAAAAATAAAAAGAATAAAAAAATTATAACTTGAATTTCGATAATTGGGTGACCACTTTTTATTATAAATTCTCCATTACTTATTGATTGCTCCTTGTAGATATTTACTCCATCGCAAAATTCCCAGCGAGTCAATTTCTTGCTGCCCAAATTACACTAGTTGTCACATTATTTAAATTCTCAGTAGAAATTGTAAAAAAATGCTTTTAAGAAGTTCTGAGACAAATATATTCAAATATTTATACTAACGTTATGGTAATTGTAGGAATTATACAGTAACGATTAGTATTAAAGAAACCAACTTATATACAAAAACCTACATTTAAATGTAAATATTTCCCCGTGTACCAAGTTCCCTTCTTTACAATTTTTATAGACTTAGTATGTAACTAATAGTATCTTAATGAATAGCAAAATCATTATAATCTTAGATTTTAATGGAGAAAAAAAAACAATCTACTTTCATACATCCATACATTTGAAGCCGGCAAATAAATATAATTTAACAAATTCCATAATGCGGTTTTGCGAATTGGGACAAAGTTGAGTATTCTCTACGGTAGCCATTTGCGGTGACAGTTGGAAGGGAATATTAACCCGAAAATGAAGTTCATTTATGACCACACTTCCGTTTGTGCTGTCCAAATTTTCATGCAATTTATTTGCCCACGAATTTATACAAAATAATATCAACATTTGTTCCAAAAATTTCATTGAAATATATAAGATCCATGTGTCAACATACATATATGACAACCTGGTATGACACGAAAATAATCAATAAAACCACTCTATAATATAATCCATATCGAAAACTAAACTCTCAATAAAAAAACTAGCTATAAAAAAATTTTACAAAAATTTCGAAATTAAAATTTAAATATAATAAATTGTCCAAATAAGAAATCTATGAGCAATATTAAAATTAATGAATATTATTAATTAATAAATCAGTATTGAGCAATAAATTGATACGTATTGTTAAGATTAATAATTATATTACTGTAACGGAGAAGCAATAATTGTCATGGGTAGTCGGCGGCATTGTATAGGTAATAGAGACTGCAATCGAGTGATATATATGTATGTTAATACTGATATTATGAGGTAACTAAACACCCTGCGAGCCTCCACAAAGCTTAATATACATATAATATGCGTCCGTTCACAACAAACACAAATTTTTAATGTTCATATAATTTATTGTGTTATTTTTAACTTTACGCTCGTAAGTCATATGTGTTCTATGAATTGATTTTAGTTAAATTATCTAAGAAACATTTGCAGGCCTTTATATTACATTATTATAAAGAGATCTTTAATATTTTCTTGAAAAGAGCTTAGTCATTTTGGACACCAGATTACATAATATATTTCTTCCTTTATTAACTTCGGTTTTAAGCAAATTAAACTCAACTGTAATCTTGCTGTTTGTTTTGATAAATTCTGTCTTTAGGCTTATTGTGAGTAGGGAATAGTAGACGGCCTCGATGCGTCCACAAATCGTAGCAAATATTATACTTTTAACGAAATTTATTATACATAAGAATACATTGAATGTGTGAAAACTATCTATACACTAATACTTATAGATACACAAAATGTAAATGTTTTATTATAATTTATAGTACAGCTTATTGAATATTTAGATATTCATGATAACGAAGAAATTATGTGATACGAAATTAAAAGCAATAAATCAATTAAGCAATACAATCGTAATCGAATAACAACGAAACATTTTTTGATATTAATTCAAAGTTAATTTAAGTGATAGCTTTTATTGATGGCGTTTAAATATAAGCAAGTTTACATAGTTATAATATTGTTCGGAGATGACGGCGAAGCTATTTCGATAAGAATACTATTTTACCACATTCAGTTGTA